TCAAATTTGACCAAAGACATGTTTGACTATTGTTAAATTTTTTATTCATATAAATAATATTGTTTACTTGCAAAAAAAGTACTTCTATTTTTAAGTACTTTTAATGTTTTCAACACTAATTTTAATGCAAATAGTTTAATTTTGCATTAGTTCTCTATAATAACACTGGTATACACTAAAACTTATTCCATATCATTAATCAACAGAATAGGAAAAAAATATTAAAAAAACAAAAAACAAAAAAACAAACAAAAAAAGAGTTACACATTTCAGGAGATCTACCTTTAACTTTAGGAGAACAGAGGGGTGTGATGTAGGATACATTTTGTTTGCAAGTAGCATCCCTGCAGCAGCTGTAGTTGTAGCACACTTCATTGCTCCAATGATAATTTGTAGAGCAGTTGCAGTTCGTGTCAGTTCCAACAATGAGGCACTCTAGAAATAAAAGAAAACATTCTTAATTCTCAGAGTTTTTTTTTTTTTAGTTTTTTTTATTTGAGGGTTAGGGCCACTCTGGATCATCAGAACTGTATGGGAAAATTTGACTGACACCTGCTTTCCTTCACAGTACAACAGTAGACAACATGTAATGTAAAAATATCTTGTCATGGTCCGTGGTCCTGTGTCTAAGGTGTCTGTGTGTGTGTGTGTGTGTGTGTGTTGGATGCCCTGGTGGCCACACCCCCGGGCTGGGCCATTACCGGCACACCTGCTTTCCATCCGGGGCGATTACCTGAAGGACTATTTAACCCCGCGCTGACGGATGCTCCACGCCAGTGCGTTAATAACCTCTCTGTGGTAACTAGCCTCCCGTGGAAGCGTTGTACAGATGTCTTATTTGAACGGCGTTAGCAATGAACAATGAACACAGGTGCATTTTATTGATGGCATTTTGAATGCACAGAGGTACCGTGACGAGATCCTGAGGCCTTTTGTTGTGCCACTCATCCACGACCATCACCTCATGTTGCAGCATGATAACGCATGGCCCCATATTGCAAGGATCTGTACACAATTGCTGGAAGCTGAAAACATTCCAGTTCTTGCATGAACTGGGATGCAAGAACTGCCCCCC